CTGCTGTGAGTCACCGGCGACGGCATAGGCTGCAGCCCCTGTGGCAGTGGGTTGCCATGGGCTACCGTGTGTAGCCAGCAGCCAGCATGAGCAGCCAGCAGCCACTGTGAGCGGCTGTCCAGAAGCCAGAGACTGATCTGCCTCGCCCGGGAAGAGTACAATGATGGTGCCAACTAGGGCCAGTAAAGCAATGCCCTCCACAACTAGACTGAAGAACAAAAGGACAGCAACTTGTCTGTTCCACTTCCCCAATTCCCCAATAAAAAAATTTTTTAAAAAGAAATATTAGAGGGACTTCTTTAAGAAGAAAAAAAAGATTAAAAAATATGAATAATAAAATGGTAATAACTACATATCTATCAACAATTATTTTCAATGTAAATGTATTAAATGCTCCAATCAAAAGACATTGCGTGGCTAAATAGATAAGGAAACAAGACCCTTACATCTGCAGCCTACAGGAAGCTCATTTCACATGAAAAACACACAAAGATTGAAATAAAGGGATGGAGAGAGATAGCTCATGAAAATGGAAACAAACAAACAAACAAAAACCTAGGGTAGCAATACTTACATCAGACAAAATAGACTTTAAAACAAAGGCTATAACAAGAGACAAAGAAGGACCCAGTAATCCCACTTCAAGGTATTTATCCAAGAAATGAAAACACTACCTTGAAAGTACATGTGCACCCATATGTTCATTAAGCATTGTTTACAATAGCCAAGATATGGAGGCAGCCTGGGTGTCCCTGAATGGATGAATGGATAAAAAAGAGGTGATACATGTATACAATGGAACATCACTCAGTCATAAAAAAATAATGAAATCTTGCCATCTGCAACAACATGGATAAACCTAGAGGGTATTGTATTTGAGATATATATATATGTATATATAATCCATTTGGGGTTAATTTTTGTGAAGGGTGTAAGTTCTGCAAGTAGAGGTGTTTTTCCCAGCACCATTTGTTAAAAAGACTACCTTTGTTCCATTTTATTTTCTTTACTACTTTGTTAAAGATCAGTTGACTATATATGTGCAGGACTATTTCTGGGCTCTGTATTCTGTTCCATAAGGAAGTTGTTTTCAGTGGAAGATGCTACAACCTTATTGCATACTAGTACAGAAGAAGAGATGCTGGCCTTAGATAGAAGCTGACTTTAACAGGAGAGAATACGGCCATATATATATATAGGTGGGTAGATTTGATGGTGGGAGAATGAGGAAGTATTTTTTTGAATGCTTCCCTTTTCTCAGCGAAAGAAGAAACACATGAGAGTGAGGACTGGGAAGCAAATAGTCAATTAAGTCAGTGGGCAGGTGAATTTCTAGGAAAACGTAATATTGGGCTGTCAGAAAAGTCATGACACATCTTTGCAACGAAAACCAGAAAAAATACGTCATGACTTTTCCAACAGCCCAATAGGATGGCGAGGTAGCTTGAGTGCCTACTTGAGATTTACGGTCATTAATTTAAAGAGGCTACTTGCAGAGCTGTGTAATTTTTCTCTTACATCACTCTGCTGCTTGGGTACAGGTAAGGAACAGGATGATTAGTGGGTTTTACCAAGTGAGTGGCTTTTAAGACAAGAAATCAAGTGGAAGTTGTTTTTTTATCCTTGGAACTAGAAGCTGGGTTGATGTCCTCAGGGTTCTCAACTGCTGCGTCCATGTTATTGCTCTTCCATCCTTCCTGTCCTTTAAAGCTCATGCAATCAAATGATGTTGACTGCCACCCTTGTTGAATGCTATAACCAACTGTCCCCCAGTTGTGCCTGCTCATGCAGTGATGATTTTATCTCCCAAATCACCATTCTCCTCTCCACTATTGGGAAATTCAGTGCTCAAATGGTGGAAAAGGCTGACGGGAAGCAGTGTCCTCTGCAGACATTCAAATTTGAATTCGTGTGTGAAGGTGCAAGGAATACTTCCTGAAATAACGGAAATGATTTTAAAGAAATGGAAAGGGGCCTTTAGTGAGAAACCTAAGTAGCTGTCTGAGCAATTTTATGAAAAGAACAAACAACTTGAGCTTCATCCAGACTCAAACCCCTATGACATGAATGCAAAGCAGCTTTTGTTTTCTGGAAATAGGCCACACGTTTCTTCTTGATCCTAGTTGTCTTAGGACTTGGTCTTGTATCTCATTTATATTTTCAGATTATATTTAAGAATCAAGCAAGCCGACCATACAACATCTTCCCTCATGGAATCACTGATGTCACTCCTTGGCACTCAGGGAGATTGCCCAAAGGTAAGTGTTACCTCAATTTTATAGTTCTCACATGCCTATAGATACAGATGAGGTCACAATCTCAATAACAGCTAAAATTATGTTGGTCCTTGCCTAGCTGTTACATACCATATAGGCACATTTATCACCCACCATCCTTTATGCTATCATTTCCATATATAATACATCTATATACTTTGCAATACCCACAAGGAAATTGCTATAATTTTTGCTTTGAACATCATAGGCAGTTTTAGAAAATATGAGAAGTATTCCTTCATATTTACCCAGCTATTTAACATTATCAATGCTTTTCATGCTTTCCTGGAAACCCAAATTTCCCTCTGGTATCACTTCCATTTAGATAATTTCCCTTCAGCCTAAAGAATTCTCTTTAGCATTCCTTATAGTGCAAGTATGCTACAGATAAATTCTCTTAGTTTTATTTTATTTGAAAATGTCTTTTTTGTGTTTTTACTTTTGAAGGATAATTTCACTGAACATAGAATTCCAGGTGAAGAGGATTTTTTTTTCCTGTTAGCAATTTCAAAATACTGTTTCACTGCTCTTTATAATAGCAAAGTCTCGATTCCATTGACTCATTCATCCCCTCTGTGTCATTTTTCTCTGGCTGTGATTTTCTTCATATTTATCTTACTTGAAGTTCACTGATATTCCTGGATCTATAACTTTGTTTTTCCCCAAATTTAGAAAGATTGTGGTCATTATTTCTTCAAATATTTGTCTGCCCTGTTCTCCATCTCCTTTTTGGGGCCTCCATTTACATGTATGGCTGCCCCTTTGGTATTGTCCCACATGCCGCAATGTTTTGATCATATTTTTTTCTTTCTCCCTCTCTTCTGCAGATTGGATAGTTTCTATTGATCTATCTTCAAGTTCACTGACCTCAGACTGGAATTTCTGAGTCACAGTATATGTATTTTTATTTTTAATAGATAGCCACAACTTTATTCCCAAATGAAGTAATAATTTGCACTTCTACTAGTCATATATGAAAATATCATTTCCCACATCCTTGATAGCTACACAATAATAGTCTTGTAAAATCCTGCAATCTGGTGGGTGAAAAGTGATGTCTCTTTTTTGCTTTAATTTTAATTTCGTTAACTCTTGTAGTGTTGACCATCTTTTTACATTTTTATTGGCCATTTGGGTTTTTCTCTGCTGTGAATTCCCTGTTCATTTCTCCTTTGATTATTTTTCTGCTGGGTTGTTTACCTTTATCTATCTATCTATCTATCATCTATCTATCATTTATCTTCTTAGTTTATTTAATTACAGGCATTATTTTTCCTAGTATATGCATTTAAGGTCATATTTTTCTCTGAATTCAATTTTTACTACATTCCATGCTTTTTATATCTAGTAATCTCTTTACCTTTCATTTCAGAATATTTCACAACTTCAGTTTTTATTTATTATGCTGTTTGTTGATTCAAGATTTACAACATATTTTTCTTCTGGATTGTACATTTTACCAATAAAAATATCCTTCTTGGTTCTGTTTTATGCTCCTTCACTTGAATTTTATTTTGCTAATTTTAGTACTGCCATGCATCCTTAGCTAGTTTATCTTTTCCATGCTGTTATTTCCCCCATATTTTTGTTTATTTTATATTAGGGCTGGCCCATATAAAGCACATATATCTGGGTTTTGTTTGTACACCCAATCTCCATCTTTCAATAGAGGATTTTAGCCCTATATAACACATTTGTGTTACTACTGATATGTTTGTATGTATTCCTGTAATTTTTAATTTTATTTACAATTATTTTACCCTTTTATTCCTTTTGTAGTTTATTTGTTATATATCTTTGCTTTTAGTATATTGGCTGTTATACACATTCTATCCATTATTTAATTTTGGGTGAATATTTATTTTACCAAAACAATAGGTGCTTAAAACTACCAAAGGGCTGTAAGTCTCCCTGCCTAGAGACATCCATTTTTAAGCATTTCTGCTTTAAATTTTTGATGGTTATCTCTATATCTCCAAACGATTACTTATATGCTAATCCTTTGTTTTTGAGATTTAGACATTATATATTTAAATACTTTATTTTGTGTTACATGAGGATTTAGCATTGTGCTTCTTCCCACTCCAGTTGTTTTAGTTTTTTATCAGTTTTTAGTTCCTCAATTGGCTATCACTATGATCTCACTTATACGTGGATTCTAAGGAACTGAATGGATGGGAGAAGTGGATGGAGATAGTCTCAGAGACACAGAGGAAGAACTGAGGGTTGTTAGTTGGGAGGGGGTGGGGATGAAGGAGAGGGGAAGGGATGAGACAATACAAATTGGTAATTGTAATATGGCCTCAGGGATAGAAAAAGATAGTCCAAGGAATACAATCAATAACGTTGTAAGCATTTCTTAGGGGGCCAGATGGACCAATGCCCTTTTGGGGAGTCCACTTCATAGTTGATGTGGAGGCCTTATCAACGCATTGTATTTCTGAAACTGATGTTGAATAACACTGTATGTCAACTATAATTATATATACATATAACCTCGGGACACGGAGTAGAGTGCGGGAACGGATTCAATGGAATTGTAATAGATAAGCATGATATGGGGGTGGGAGGGCAGTGGATGGGGGTGGGGGGTTGTTACTTTGTGAGGGTGAAAAGGGTAACTATTGCATTGTTCTGTACACCTGAAACTAACAATAAATAAAAATTAAAAAAAAAAATACACTAAACATCCACTTTTCTATTTTTTTTTTAAGCTGAGCCATCCTGCCACCTGTTGGCAGCTCAGCGGCAGCTCATCTCGGGCTGACAATCGAACCGCTGTTCTCAGAGCTCACACTCTTGAGCGAGCTCTTAACCAACTGAGCCACTCGGCCAGCCCCTAAACATCCACTTTTTATATTTTCATGATTGAATATCTCTGACTCCATCCTTTGTTAATTAAGAATATTAACAACAGTGACCTTTCCCCTTTCCCCTCCTCTATTCTTCTATTTCTCAACTAGTACCAGCCTTTACTTTTACTTTTTAAATTACTTTTTAAACATGACTAGTCCTACTAGTCATGTATGAAAATATAATTTCCCACATCCTTGATAGCTAGACAATAATAGTCTTCTAAAATCCTGCCAATCCAGTGTATGAAAAGTGGCGCCCCATTTTTGCTTTAATTTAATTTTTTGTAGTGTTGACCATCTCTTTACATTTATAAAACCTTTACTTTTATAGAACTAAAGTTGATAACATTTACATTTTGTACTGTAATGTTAAATAACTCCTCCCTTTGTCTATGTATTTATTCTAAATTTTAAAAATTAAAGAAAACAGCATTTGTATTATTTTAGTACGTGCTTCTTATTGTAAGTATATGAGTTTACTGCAGAACTATGTGATACGCTGTGATTGTTCTTTTGTCTACAGTTCCAATGATTTTACTCTTAAGGTCAAATTGATTATCCTTTCTTATTCTCTACGAGTAGTTCAAAATCATGTTAAATTTTAGCTTGCTTTATATTAGGGCCATGCTGATCTTGTAAATTTTGTGTTTGTATTCCTAAAGACTTTCTTTTCTTTTGTTAGAAGAAATGTATGCCTCTTCACCATATCCCTTAGGTCTTCCAGCTTCCTAATCATTCCATTTATTGCTTGATATCCAATCCTTTTTTTCTTCTTAAAGACATTCTTGTAGTTCACCAGCCTACTGTTTTTATTTGTATGCTTTCTAGGCCTGCTACAAAGCTGCCATCTTTGAATTTTTTTCTTTGGACTTGTAGGTTAGTGCCATTACTGCTCTTACCTTGTACATTTCGGTTTTTGGTTTTTTGTTTTTTAAAGATTTTATTGGGGAATTGGGGAAGGGGAACAGCCAAGTTATTGTCCTTCAGTCTTAGTTGTGGAGGTGCAGCTGGCTCAGCTCCAAGTCTAGTTGCCATCTGGCTGCCCATTGGCAGCTCCCGGCAGTTCAGCTCAAGGAACTATGTTCAGTCTTAGTTGCGGGTGGGCATAGCCCACCATCCCATGCAGGAGTCGAACCAGCAACCTTGTTGTTAGGAGCACGTGCTCTCACCAGCTGAGCCATCCTGCCACCTGTTGGCAGCTCAGTGGCAGCTCAGCTCGGGTGCAGCTCACTGGCCCATGTGGGAATCGAACCGGCGACCCTGTTGCTCAGAGCTTGCGCTCTTAACCAACTGAGCCACTCAGCTGGCCCTGTTTTTTGTTTTGTTTGTTTTGTTTTAATTTCTTTTGTTTTTCTGGAAGTATATCTTCAAGTAACTTCTGAATACATTGGTACCTAAAGGGTAAACTTTATGGCTCCTTCAGTATCGTATGATGTATAGATGGGCTGGTTATAAAAAGTTTTCCATCCACTCTTTTCTAATATTCATTGCTGCTGATGAGAATCCTCAGGCCAATTTGATTTGCATTCCTTTATGGGAGAAGGGCATAGTAACAAAATTCTGGGGAGATACTGAATGTGCACCCTAAAATTTAGAGGCAGACACTGCCCATGCTAACAGACAAGAAGAGAGGGTCAGAGTGGAGCAGCCTGCCCTTCTGCTGTGTGACATGGCAAGGATGCGTGAGCTTTCTCTGTAACAAGTAGATACTGTTGGAAGTACCCGGCTTGGTCTCCTTTTGAAGATAACCCTGCCTAAGAAGGCAGCCTGGCAGAGTGAGGGATAGCAGGATACTAGGCTCATGGATATATCACTGGAGGTGAAAAGAGCTGAAGTGAGCATCTCTGAAGTTGTGGAACTGTGCGGTGCTGAGGTCCCCATAGTGGCTCCAAAGGAAACATACATGTGTCCTAAGAAAAGACCAGTACTTGGGCATCTGCCGCACAGAAAGCATTGGTGACCAAACAGTGTTGTCACAGAGGGAGTACTCAAAAAGCCCTTCCCTCTAATACCCATCCACCCTCACTCTTGGCTCCTGGAAGAGGAAAGAGAAAAGGCTGAGAAATACTGAAAGAATATGCCACACCATTCCCTTTCTATAGGTTCCCTAACCATAGGTCAGGCTTAACCTAATAGGGATGAGGGAGAACTTAGAAAGGATATAAAGTTGAAATTTTGATTTAGACTGCATCTTCATGTATATGAAACATAGCCCAAAGTGAGTGTTAATGACTAAAACCAGACATTTCTTATCCTGAGAATCCATTAGCATGAGCACAGGTCTGTTCTTGTCCCTGTCGTCACAGGGGTCAGATACCACATCGCTTGACACCATATCCTTTAGCTTCTATTCACTCTGGCTTTGATGTCTCTCTTTCTTTAGTGCTTGAGATTTTTTTCTTCTTTTTACACTTTCAGCTATGCATAAAAATTATCTATTATTTCTCTATATTTGTAATAGTGGGTAGACCTGCCCATTTCAACTCAAACTAACATACTAGCAAAAATCTCCTGGGCCCATTTTTATTGTAAAAAACTGTATGAATCTTAAATTTATAATAGGTACACATTTAGTTTCCATTTATTGAGGAACATCATATGTACATATAGATTTGTAGAGCAATAACAACATGATTGCCAATATGTGGCTTGTTAAACTCTAATCAAGCTATTTTTGGGTTTGGGTATGGGTAGGTGTGAAACATTTGAAAGATATGCCAATTCTGCCAGGAAAGACATTCAAGTATAAATGGACAGTAACTGTAAAAGATGGGCCAACTAACTCAGATCCTCGGTGCCTGACCCGGTATTACTCAAGCTTCGTCAACCCAGAGAAAGATCTGGCCTCAGGACTCATCGGCCCTCTCCTCATCTGCTACAAAGAATCTGTAGATCAAAGAGGAAACCAGGTGAGTCCCTCTGTTCCCAACTGCTAGATTTGAAGCTAAAGTGGAATAATGATGCATATGAACTTCCAGATACTATTTCCTATACTCTCTCAGTGTATGCCCTTCCCATAGTATGAAGAAAATATAATAGTCTGCAATACTGGCCAATAAAATAAATGAGCTGGGTTTCTCACAGCTGTCATTGATTCTGAGTTTGGTGTAATAATGTTGAGTACTGAGTGCACAGGAGATTTAAACCCCAGATTTTTTCTGTAATACTCATTCCCAGTCTAAGATCCCACTCTCTGAAGGTGATCTTGCGCCTTTTTATATGCTCAGTTAACACCCATTTTTAGATGACATACAAATTTAGATTGCAGCCTAGACTTCTCTAGAGTTCAATAAATATTTGTTAAACAAATACAGAAAAATATATGAAATATTTCAGAATATGGCTAGAATTTGGACCACTTCTGCTACCTAAAAAAATTAAGTTAAATTCTCTGAATAGAAAAGCTTAATTCTTCACAAGAACTCACTGCCGTATCGCTGAGGCTACATGCCCATTTGTCCATTTGTGATACACTGGATTTCTACTAGTCTGGGAACCTTTCATTGGTTTAGAGACTGAAGCACAGGAATTTGGCCAAGTACCTACCTTGATAAATTCTTCCTAATTATAGTTTTTCCACCAGTTTTTGAAAGAGGACTAAAATGTATTTCTATATTCTCCAATCTCCTCCCCTTATCATTTTGGTTTCTGTAGCGATAGGTTATGCAAAGTGAAATTGATACCTATTAGTGAAGTTTACACATTACATCTTAGAAGATTCAATTAGCAAGTGACTGACATAACTTTAGTTTATATACAAACTGCTCTTCTGAAAAAACTTAATTTTTTTAAGCCAAAAGTTAAGGTATTAGTGTTAGTTAACATTTTATGGCTCATCTTAGCTTTACTTGATTTCTGTTTTCTGTTTTTAATTGTTTCTAGATTGGTGGCTTTGGGGAAGGGTAGTTGCTCGATGGAAGTTTAGGAAAGACACTAATCTTACTTGACTAACTTGTTTAAGAAAGTCACTGAATAATCACTTGGGTCTTCAAAGAGTGAAAAATCCTCTAATCTGAACATGGAGAGATTGAGGCTACAGAGTGTACCAAACATCAGCCAGCATATGGCTTTGGGTCCAGAAGAAACAAAGTTTAATGGCTCCACTCGGGTTCTTGCCCTGAGGACACATTTGCTTTAAACATATTCTTACTGCTCATAGTACTCACTCCCACTCCTGGGCCTTGGTACCTGCCATAATAGTGACCTTAGGCAGAAATGGTCAAACCAAAGGATAATATTGAACCAAAATTGAACCAAAGGATAATAGATAGATCACACGCATGTCATCACTTCCACTGTAGACTGCTAATTCCTACCTGACAATAGCAGTAGCATTTCTTTCTCTCAATGCATATAATTAACAGATGATGTCAGACAAGAGAAATGTCATCCTGTTTTCTGTATTTGATGAGAATCGAAGCTGGTACCTTACAGAGAATATGCAGCGCTTCCTCCCCAGTGCAGATGGAGTACAGCCCCAGGATCCAGAGTTCCAAGTTTCCAACATCATGCACAGTAAGTAAAGCAGCACCTGAGTCCACAGGGTAACAGATCAAGGGAAACTTAAGCCGCCAAATTACTGTCTATATAATGGATTATTTTATATGCCACGCAAGAGTCATAGTTCCTTAAAAATTGTTACTTATAAGCATATACAATTTTATATAAATGCATAAATATGATCATATAACACATATATTTTTTTCTTTTAGAAGGCATCAAATATTCAGAGAACTTTCTTTTTAAAGGATAAATCAAATAAGATACAGCTTTCATTTATCCAAACATGCATAATCCATACTTAATATAAAATGCACTCAAATGGTGAGTTACACATGAAATACAAAGGGAATGCAATTTTACATATGAAAACAATTGCCAGCTCTAATAATTTAACAGTCAAATGAATCAAGACATTGGATGTTAAAACACCCAACATTTTTTCCCCAACTTTATGAGGTCTAATTGACAAAGAAAAATTATATATATTTAAGGTATACAATGTGATCCTTTTGATATTCACTTGGCTGTCCCCTCCCTTTTATCTCCCCATCTCTTTCCATATTAGACCTTTCCACTAACCATTCTGTGTCCAGGGAGCTCATGCTATATATGTGTTCATGTATGATTATATAATCACACATAAGCACATGTATACATTGTATTAGTCTGCTGAGCCTGCCATAACAAAGCGCCACAGTCTGGGTGGCTTCAACAGCAGAGATTTATTTCCTCACAATTCTGGAAGCTAGAAATCTAAGAGATTAAGATGTTACAAGAATTGGTTTCTTCTAAGGCCTCTTTCCTTGGCTTGTAGACAGCTATCTTCTCCCTGTGTCCTCACATGATCTTTCCTCTGTGTGTGCACATGTCTATGTACAAATTTCCACTTCTTATAAGGACACTAGTCATACAGAGTTAGAGCCCCGCCCCCTAATCATCTCATTTTAACAAATCACCTGTTTAAAGTTCCTATCTTTAAATGCAGTCGCATTCTGAGCTATTAGGGGTTAGAGCTTCAATATATGAATTTCGATGGGAGTACAATTCATCCTGTAGCACTCATACATATGTGTGTATGTGTTTATATACACACATAAATCAGAATGGTAAAAATATATGATAAAAATTTTCAGGACAGTAAAAAATATAATAAAAATTTTCAATCTCACTGGGAACTACAAAATTGAATACCAATGTGATAGCACTTTATACCTATCAGACTGACAAAATTATAACACAATTATTACTAGTGGTCTTGTGAGTGAATGAGTATTTTCATACAAGGTTAGCAGATAACTAGTATGGACTTTTTAAAAACAATCTTATTGAAACCATTAAATTAAAAATCTATGCTTTTTGGGCCGGCCGAGTGGCGCGATAGTTAAGAACTGGCTTGGGATGCCAGAGGGCCCCAGTTC